TGCAGTGTCTTTAGTATGGGGGAACCCCCCCCAAAAAAAAAATTTGGACCCTCTATAAACGCGTGGCCCGGCGACCCCCCCAAGCAAATTTGGGGGGGAAACCGCCCTCAGGGCCTCAAGCCTTTAGGACCTCAAGGCCTGCAGCATTCGGGTTTAGGGTTTAGGGTTTAGGGTTTAGGGTTTAGGGTTTAGGGTTTAGGGTTTAGGGTTTAGGGTTTAGGGTTTAGGGTTTAGGGTTTAGGATTCCTGGAGCCCAAGGCCTCAGGGCCTCAAGCCTTACTGCATAAGCCCTTAACCCTAAACACAAACCCTTAAACCAAAACTCGTCCGAAAAGAACTTGGTATTATAAAGGGTAGCCAGACAAACATACTAAATGCAGTATGACCGGCCCGTGGGCTACCTATCACAAAGTGTGTTTGGGGCCTCGTTTCGTAATGAAATTCCATAAGGCTTTACATGGAACTGGCCGGGCTTAGATGTCTGGATTCTCCGCGCTCTGGCTCTTTAAGATTCCTGGAGCCCAAGACCCTCAGGGCCTCAAGCCTTACTGCGTAAGCCCTTAACCCGAAAACAAACCCTTAAAAACACCAATCTTCCGGAAAAACTTGTGATAATCGACGGTACCCTGCACAAACTCGGTTCGCAGAAGAAAATTTTCGAAACTTGTGATTATAGACCCTCCTTATACTAAAGTCGGTCCAACATTATGGTTTAGGGTTTAGGGCTTAGGGCTTAGGGCTTAGGGTTTAGGGTTTAGGGTTTAGGGTTTAGGGTTCTGAAGTATGGACCCTCAGGTTCTATAGGGTGTACACGGGGTACATAAGCGGTCCCCTTGTCAGGGCTAAACCCTCCTATACTATACCCTAAACCCCAAGCCCTGCAGCCCAAACTCTAAACCCTAAACCCTACACCCTAAAACCCCAAGCCCTAAGCCCTAAGCCCTAAGCCCTAAGCCCTAAGCCCTAAACCCTAAACCCTAAACCCTAAACCCTAAACCCTAAACCCTAAACCCTAAACCCTAAACCCTAAACCCTAAACCCTAAACCCTAAACCCTAAACCCTAAACCCTAAAGCCTAAACCCTAACCCTTAGGTTACTGGCTTAAGATGAGGACTGAGCTGCCCCATCGCCCTCGCGATGCGGCGATGCTCACGGAGCACTACGTCGAGGTGCACCTTTGGGGGTTAAGGGTGGGGTTTAGGGTTTAGGGTTTAGGGTTTAGGGTTTGGGGTTTGGGGTTTGGGGTTTAGGGTTTAGGGTTTGGGGTTTAGGGTTTAGGGTTTAGGGTTTGGGGTTTAGGGGTTTAGGGGTTTAGGGGTTTAGGGGTTTAGGACCCTCAACCCGGAGCTCCTAAACCCCTAAGCCCTTAGACGCCTAAACCCTACACCCTGGGTTTGGGGCCTCACGTCAACAAGTAACCCTACAAGGCCGCCTAAACCCCAAAACCCTAAACCCTAAACCCTAAGCCCTAAACCCTAAACCCTAAACCCCCCTCAAGCCCCTCTTAGACCCACATAGACTCATACTGTGAACCCATAGAAGGCATGCAAAGCAGTTGGACCAAAGACCCTAAACCCTCCTAAGCCCTAAACTCTGAACCCTAAACCCTAAACCCTAGGCCCTAAGCCCTAAGCCCTAGGCCCTAGACCCTGAACCCTAAACTAACCCTCAACTCTACACCCTAACAGCCCTAAACCCTACAACAACCAGAACCGTGACTCGCTAAACCGTATGAACCTTAGGTTTAGGGTTTCGGGGTTAGGGTTTAGGGCCCTAGACCCCTAAACCCTAAAGCCTAGATCCCTGAACCCTATTTCCCTACATCCATAAATCATCAGCTCCCCGGGACCTCAATAATCCCTAGGCCGCACAAAAAAAAAACCTGAACCCTAAACACTGAACCCTGAACCCTGAACCCACCCCTGACAGTCTTCGTTGAACCCTCAAAAGGCTATGGAGCGTAGAGCTACGGGGTTGAGGGTTTGGGATTTCGGCTTTTAGGATTTAGGTAGGGTTTAGGGCAAGGCTTTTTCTGGTTCGGGCCGAGGATCTAGAGTTTAGGGTTTAGGGTTTAGGGTTTAGGGTTAGGCCCCAAGCAGAGATTTCCAGGGCTTGGGGCGTCGTTTGGGGCCAAGGGTCGTTGAGGGTTTAGGGTTGAGGGCTGCAAAGCTTCCGCTAGTTTCCTGGGCCTTAATGTGGTCCCTTACCCTTCTTTAAAGGGTTCTCAAGAATGGACCCTTGGGTTGAAGAGAGTTTGAGGTCAAACCCTAAACCCTAAACCCTAAACCCTAAACCCTAAACCCTAAACCCTAAACCCTAAACCCTAAACCCTAAACCCTAAACCCTAAACCCTAAACCCTAAACCCTAAACCCTAAGCCCTAAGCCCTAAGCCCTAAGCCCTAAGCCCTAAGCCCTAAGCCCTAAGCCCTAAGCCCCAAACCCCAAACCCCAAGCCCCAAACCAATAATTTTGCAACATAGCCAACGCGTCCCTGTCGCGGCTCAAGGTTCTTTCTTTGAAGACGCCACATGTGGACCCCCCGAGGACCAAAAACGTGCAGCCGCGAAGCTGAAAAGCGTGGTGGAGGTTCTCTATAGGGGTGTAGGGTTTAGGGTTTAAGGTTTAGGGTCTTAGGGGTTTAACTATGATCCCACTCAGAAGTCCCGCTACAACCTGTTAGCCTGCTTTTAAGCAGGCTGTTTGTTAAGTTAAGTAGGTTCTAGGTACCCCGGACCCTAAACCCTAAACCCTAAACCCTAAACCCTAAACCCTAAACCCTAAACCCTAAACCCTAAACCCTAAACCCTAAACCCTAAACCCTAAACCCAAAACCCAAAACCCAAAACCCAAAACCCAAAAAACCCAAACCCCTTCTTGTGCCGTCGCAGCCATGGGGGCCGCCGTGGGGGGAGCCATGCAGGAAGCCCTCGGGTTGCCATGTTGCTTGGCATGCTTAGGGTTTAGGGTTTAGGGTTTAGGGTTTAGGGTTTAGGGTTTAGGGTTTAGGGTTTAGGGTTTAGGGTTTAGGGTTTAGGGTTCAGGGTTTAGGGTTTAGGGTTTAGGATGCAGGGTTAAGGGTTCAGGCTTTCGGGTTTAGGATAGAGCATGGATGTTAGACCCTCTAAGCCGTAAGCCCTAAACCTGAAACCCACAGCCCTAGGCCCAAAAGACCCTCAACCCTATACCCCTGACCCGAAATGCGAAGCCTCCAGGAACCTAAGTTCAACCCCGCTCTATACACCCCCCCCCCCCTGGCAAAAAAACTAAGGCTATGTAGGGATAATTAAGCCGTAGTTTAGGTCATTTACGGGGGGATCCTAGAGGGGTGGTAGCCCTAAACCAAAACACTGAGCCGTAAACCCTAAACCCTAAACCCTAAACCCTACACCCTACACCCTACACCCTACACCCTAAACCCTAAACCCTAAACCCTAAACCCTAAACCCTAAACCCTAAACCCTAAACCCTAAACCCTAAACCAAAGGCTGCTCCGGGAAGGAGGCTCCCAACCTCCGAGAGCTTGGCGGGGTCTGCTGCACCGTGAAGGAGCCCGAGTCGAAGGTTTGGGGTTTAGGGTTTAGGGTTTCGGGTTTGCGGTTTAGGGTTTAGGGTTTGGGGTTTAGGGTTTAGGGTTTAGGGCTTAGGGTTTGGGGTTCGGGGTTTAGGGTTTGGGGTTTGGAGTTTGGGGTTTAGGGTTGAGGGTTTAGGTAGCAGGAGGTAGGTAGGAAGAAGCAAGGTGTATGGGCCTGTAGTGTAGACAAAGGTACGTGTACGGACCCAACATACCCCACACGAGCGGCCCACACAACCCTCCCTCGATTATGTAAGGGACCTTAGGAGCTCTTTGGGCTTATTTGGGTGGCTACTTATGTATATAGGGACTATATAAGGTATATATGGGGTTATATAAGGGAATAAGATTCAGGGTCCTTTCTAGGGGTCCCTCCTTATACCCCTTAACCGGGGGTTTGGGGTTAACCTCGCATCCTCCGGGTCCGACCTGCCCGCGTCCCTCACATTGCTCGCCCGCGCGAAAACAGCGTCCATGTTGTCCATGGCCAGTGGGCCCATCCAGCATCCAGTGGCCCGCACAAAGAGTCCCTCGCATCCCTCGTGTCCCTCACGTCCCTCGCGTCCCGGTGTCCCTCGCATGGGTCGCCCCATCTCGGGACACGGGGTGGTGAGAGTGGGGACATGGGTGGAGGCGCAACTTCGGGTTGGGACGCGCCCCCAGAAGCCCTCGCATCCCGCCCTGCTTCCCGCATTCCTCGCGTCCCTCGCTTCCCTCGCGCCCCTCACGTCCCGCCCCTGCGTCCCCGGCGTCCCTCGCGACTTCTGCGCCCCCGCCTCGTCCCTTGCAGGGACTATGCCCATAACATTCTGCTGTATTTAGAGCTCGGATGAAGAGGTAAATAGGGTTCCAACCCCAAGCCCTAAACCCTGACCCTAAACCCTATAAACCCTATGAACCCTATAAACCCTATAGAGCCTAAACCCTAAGCCCTAAACCCTTCCGGGGTTGTACAGAGTCAGGGCAGGCGGTGAGTGCATGCTGCATGCCCATTCGGCTCAGGGCAGTTTAGATGGCATTCTAGCCCCCCACGCCCTCAAGAAGACGACACTTGCCACAAACACCCTCAAACATACTCTCTCCTCTCTCTGTCTCTCTCTCTCCCTCTCTCTCTCTCTCTCTCTTTCTATGATATAGCATTGTAGAGTAGAATATGTTACTTAATTATATTCAAGTCAAATATAGTATGATATAATCTGATATAAATATCAGTCGGTATAAATACAAATATACAAAGAATATAAAAAATGATACGTAATTAACAAATAACCTGAATAATACATATGTATATATATATATATATATACATATTTCATTTTATGCGTGCGCTGATGCACTCAGCCAGCTTTTGCAAGTATCTGATCAGGTGACCGAGTGCGCGGCAGTTCGGAACCCAAGAAAAAGCCCGACACGCAGCCCCTCACGCAATGGCGTCGCCGGTAGCAGACATTTTCGCACTGAACTGGCTAGATGTCTCCATGGTCGGTAAGCTGATGCAGCTCGACAAGACTTGGCAAGGCAGCATGCAGAGATGGCTGACGGCACAGACATCCGTGGTTCTCAGAGACGCGAGGGACGTCGTGCTCACTTGGGTGAGTTGGAGGTGCCCACATCTTCAGACACTGGATATCAGCGGCTGTAGAAAGTTGACCACGACTGCTGTGGTAGATGCCGTCCGACGGTGCCCCTTGCTGAAGACCTTAATTGCCCTTGGATGCACAAGCCTCGCGTATCCTGCCCAGGGCGACTCCCTACGCGGGTGGGAAGCCATCCGAAAGGCCAGAGGAGGTTTGGAAGTGGTGGGCCGTGGCTCCCGCTTGACTATTCGCGCCGAGTGCGAGGGTTCCGAGCTCTGGTTCAACATCGGAGGACACACGCGACTGTCCAAACTGACCAACATCTGGTTTGAGCGCCAAGGGCTCCCGACACAACTGGCGCGCTTCTTCTTTGGCAGCCACCTCATCCAGCCCAACGACACTTGTGCTTCGCTGGGTCTAGAGGACTGGGTCTTGGAGTACTATACTTTAATCCTTTTTTTGGTTCTGGGTTTTTTCTTATTGCTACTTCTACCTAAAAAGTATATACTTTTTTTCCAGGGTCTACTCCAAAGCTAAGAGGAGGGAGACATGCTGGAAGTCCTTCCGGTGCGGCTGGTGCAGGGTTCGCCGCTGATGGAGAGGGTGCGTGAAATGCAGCAGAGACTGCAGCGTCTTAACGCAGCTCTTGTTGCAAGTGAGGATGCGGACGCCTGAACTGTGATGTAGTGGAGGAAGTAGTCCAAAAGAGCCCAATACCCCTTAAGTAGGTACTTTAGCTTAAATACGCTTAAATCATATTAAGGACCCCTTTATGATTTAAGGTATAACCCTTTATTAAGTAGGTAATATAGCGTAAATCATATGAAGGATCCCTATAGTTTAAGGTACGTTCCTTAGTTTTTGGGGTATTGGGCTCTCTGGGTTTGCAGCCGAGACACCGCAGAAGGGCGACATGCGGTGTAGGCTTCAGAGGCCGCGGCTTGCGTGGGATGGAGCTTCTTGCAGGGTGCGCTTGCAAGTTGCAGCAGGCTTTTAAACTCCTAAACCCTAAGCCCCTAAGCCCCTATACCCTTAAACCCTAAAACCCTAAACCCTAAACCCCAAACCCTAAACCCTAAACCCTGAACCCTGAACCCTGAACCCCTGAACCCTGAACCCTAAACCCTAAACCCCAAAGCTCGCACTTGCGGCGGGAAGACCGGGGCCTCCCAACTCCCTTGGCTTCGGCGCCTGGACAGATTGAGGCCAAAATGCTCCGATTGGGGTTGGGGCTGCAAGAAACCCTAAACCTTGAACCCTAAACACTAAAACCTGGATTTAGGGCTTAAGGTTTCAGACCTGATCTCAGTTATTCCTGGAGTCAAGGTAATCAAAAAACACTGTAACAGCCAGCAGCACAGAATATGGGTGGGTCTACAGTTTTATTTGTTGAGGTGACTGAAACCCAACCCCCCCCCACTCCCCCGAACAAAGACAGACCCTAACTTTCACCCCTGAAACCCTAACGCCACTCCCTGAGCCCTGAACCCTAAACCCTAAACCCCAGCTCCCCGATACCCGCACTCTCGAGACAGCAGGAGCATCTGGAGGTGCTTGGCGCTTTGGCAAAGTGAGCTTCACCATGGAATCCCAACAAAATACCCTGTCCCTGTGTAGGGGGCGGGGTTTAGGGTCTAGGGTCTAGGGTTTAGGGTTTACGAGGCGGGGGTGAGGCGTGAGGATGCTTATGCACCCTAAGCCTAAACCTTAAACCCTAAAGCCTGAACCCAAAACCCAAAACCCAAAACCCACGTTGCCAGGTTTTTGGGGTTATATGAGCTTCAAAGAGATCCCTTTGTGTGGGGTGGGTGGGCGGGGGGCGGGGGGGGGGGCATATAGACGGACTATACTATTGGAGCATCCAGGAGGTACCACTGCTTTTAAAAGTGCTTTAGGGTTTAGGGTTTAGGGTTTAGGGTTTAGGGTTTAGGGTTTAGGGTTTAGGGTTTAGGGTTTATTAGGGTTTAGGGTTTAGGGTTTGTTTTTTTCAGGCTCTTTGGGCCTCTTGGAGGCGTTCAAGGCGAGAGTCCCTGAAGGGTGTCTATTTTTCGAGGCCGTTCTTGGGATTCTGTGAGTTTGAGTTCGCAAGCTTCATCCCAAATGCCATCCCCTAAGCCCTAAACCCCAGACCCTGAACCCTCAGCCCTAAACCCTAAACCCTAAGCCTAAACCCCCTCCCTAGGCTGTTCACGGTTGTGGCGTTTAAGGCGCTTAGGGTGTGGTTTTCGGGATCATACTATCCAACGCCTAGAGTTGCCCTTCTCATTTTCCAGCTCATGCGTCCCGTCGAACCTCCCCAAGTAGTTCCCTAACCCTAAACTTGGCCCTAAACCCTAAACCCTAAACCCTAAACCCTAAACCCTAAACCCTAAACCCTAAACCCTAAACCCTAAACCCTAAACCCTAAACCCTAAACCCTAAACCCTAAACCCTAAACCCTAAACCCTAAACCCTAAACCCTTAAACCTAAACCCTAAACCCTAAACCCTAAACCCTAAACCCTAAACCCTAAACCCTAAACCCTAAACCCTAAACCCTAAACCCTAAACCCTAAACCCTAAACCCTAAACCCTAAACCCTAAACCCTAACCCTAAACCCTAAACTCCCTCTTGGGCTGTCGGGTCTGAGGCGTGGAGTCCGCCGCCGTGATCTCCGAGTCGCTGGCGCTGAACCAATTTGGGGGACTCGTGGTCCGAGAGGCCTCCCTGGCACATTCCGACTAGCCCTAAACCCTAGCCCTAAACCCTAAACCCTAAACCCTAAACCCTAAACCCTAAACCCAAACCCTGGTTACAGCACTTCAAGGACATTTTTCGGGGGAGGAGATCAGGATGAAGGGGCCCCAATATGAAGCAAACATGAAACAGTCTTCAATCGAGTTTAGGGTTTAGGGTTTAGGGTTTAGGGTTTAGGGTTTAGGGTTTAGGGTTTAGGGTTTAGGGCAATGCGCTGCAGTTGAACAGTTTTGAAACTTAGCGGACGGCTTTCATTTTCAGGGAAGCAAGTTGTTTGGGAATCAGGTTACCTCCCAAGACCTTGTCCGCGCGGAACCCTACTCTCTACACCTTGAACCCAAAGGTGCAAGGTTTTAGGGTTTAAGGTTTGGGGTTTAGGGTTTGGGGTTTAGGGTTTAGGGTTTAGGGTCTAGGGTTTGGGACCCTACCTCTCACTACAGTTGCACTTCCCACTTCTCAGTTGTTGTTTCTTGTAAAATACCTGGGCTAGAGGTCAAGTCTGTTGCTGGGTAGGTTTTTGGCGCAACCACGGTGCTTCCGGTCCCTTTAAACCCTAAACCCTCAACCCTAACCCTAAACCGACAACCTAAGCCTAAATTCTAAGCCTAAACCCTAAACCCTAGACCCTAAACCCTAGCACCCTGAACCCTAAACCCTGAACCCTAAACCCTAAACCCTGAACATCCTCTAAGCCCTTAAGCGTTTGGCAGCCCTCGAATGGAGGTACTTACTAACCAGTTACTGGTATAATTGTATTTATAGCTGTACTTATAACCATATAAGGGCACTTAACGGGCTTGTAAGTGGGTTATAAGTCCAGCCCTAAACCCTAAACCCTCAACCCTAGACCCTAGATCCTAAACCTTGCACCCCTGTAGACTTAATTGGTTAATAAGTACCATGAACCTAGAGTGGAGACATCTCCGCAGGAGGCAAAGCTGCCACCTGGTGGGCGATTCACGGCCCCCTTGGCCCAGAAAGAGGGTTTAGGGCAAGCCCTAAGCCCCAAGCCCTAAGCCCTAAGCCCTAAGCCCTGAGCCCTGAGCCCTAAGCCCTAAGCCCTAAGCCCTAAGCCCTAAGCCCTAAGCCCTAAGCCCTGAGCCCTGAGCCCTGAGCCCTGAGCCCTAAGCCCTAAGCCCTAAACCTTAACTAATCCCTAAGCCCTAACCCTAAACCCCAAACCCTAAACCTTGAACCCTAGTTTAGGTTTAGGGTTGGAAGAATGCGCTCTTTTCTAGGGGGTCTGAACTCCTCATGACAGCTAAGGGCCTCAAGGCAAAAACCCTGAACCTTGAGGAACCTTCAGCCTGAACCAAAAAACCCTAAGCCCTAAACCCTAAACCCTAAACCCTAGACCCTAAACCCTAAACCTGACACCCGAAGTCCTGAGCCCTTGACCTCGCCCATGATCCCAAAACCCCAGATCCCCAAAACACCTTAAGCCTGTCAAGCCCGCAACCCTATAAACCCTGTAAGCCCTATGAAGCCTACTCACCCACAAACCCCATGAAAACTACGAAAACCCCAAATACCCTGCAAAGCCCCCACAAACATCCCATAAGCCCTACGTCAAAGCCGTTACCGGTGGTTCAGGGCAGGTTGACCTTCCGGTTGAATCGAGTCTGGAGCGGATCAGGTGGATTGATGGACAGACGATTGATTTTCGTGTCCTATGCTGAGACGTCTGCTGAATCTAGAATCCAGTGCTGAGAAAGCCGATGCACGGCAGTTGCGTGAGGCCTTTTTGCGCGAAAGGGACTCAGCGAGAACTGGAAAAGGTGGCAAGGGATCACGTGGTTCTCACAGCTCCAATGGGGACAAGTGAAGTCAAGCGCAATTGGCATGAGACGCGACAAAGTGTCGCGGTGGGAGACAAGCCCTAAAACCCCACAAACCCCATAAACGCTGCAAAATCCCTTAACGCCCCATAAACCCCATAAAGCCCACAAAGCCCACAATCCCTGTAAGCCCTACTCAAAAACCCTAAACACCCTAGAAACCCCAATGACCCAAGCCTTCACCCAAACCCTAAACCCCCAACCCTAAAACCCTAAAAACCCTAGAAACCCTAAGCCCCAGGTCATGATGCTGGGAATGCAAACCCTATGAACAAACCCTAAAACCCCTAGAAACCCTAAACCCCAAACCCTAAGCCCTAAACCCCAGAAACCCCAAACCCTAAAAACCCTAAAGCCCCTAGAAACCCGATAAGCCCTTAAATTAAAACCCATGCATCTGCAGGTACCCTGTACATGAAAACCCTAAGCCCCAGGTCATGATGTTTGGGATGACGGGGTCGGGCAAGAGCGCCCTGGGTAACCTCCTGGCAGGCAGGGGCTTTCTTCAAGTTTTTTTTTAATTCCGCGTGGGGGGGGGGGGGGGGGGGGTTGGGGCCTAAACCCTAAGCCTAAACCCTAGACCTTAAACCCTTGAGGGTTAATTAGGGTTTCGGGTGCAGGTTTCAAGGATTTGCAGTTGGGATTTCCCCCCCCCCCCCCCCTTGTACTGACCGTCCTTCATAGGGATCCTAGTGCCCCCGATTATCATCCCTGCTAAGGACTGTTAGTATAAGGACGAACATCCCAAGTTTATAGGCTTGAGAGTTCGTGGGTTTAGGGTTTAGGGTTTAGGGTTTAGGGTTTAGGGTTTAGGGTTTAGGGTTTAGGGTTTAGGGATTAGGGAGGTTTTGGCGGGTTCCAAGTCTTGGAAGGCAGGAACATGCCAAGCGTTTGGGGCAGAGTTTGGTGGTTCAGGGTTTAGCTTAGGGTGCAGGGTTTTGGGTTTAGGGTTAAGGGTTTCGGGTTTGGGGTTTAGGGTTTACGGTTTAGGCATCCATCGAGTTTAGGCCAAAAGCCCGCACGTTTTTGGCCAAGCGGGTGCCCTTACCCCTCGACCCCACACACCAGAAACTCCTACCCCCTTTTTCTAGCAGTCCTTAATAGGGACGATACTAGGGGATACGATAATCCCTACTAAGGACTGTTCGTACAGGGGGAACATCCCAACCCTGAACCCCAAACCACGATTGAAATGGGCAGAGCCCTGACTGAAACAAACAGCTCTGCGCTGTGAGCCCGACCTCAGGCTACGACCACTTCCTGTCAGGGGACGACACTGCTCCTGGGCCTACCTTCGGTTGGGATGAGGGTTTCTAGGTTTCCCAGGGTTTTTCGGTTTTTTGGAGCTATCACTTCTTCTGCCTTTGTGGGCCTCCGCTTGGGTCAGTCAAGCCGCAGTTTCCTCTTCTCTTTTCGCCTCCGCTTGGGTCAGCCAAGCCGCAGCAGCTTCCTCTGTGCACCCTAGCCATTGCCTTTGGACAGCTCCCGCTTTCCTTCTGACTCGGCCTTGTACTCTCTCACAAGCAGTAGGGTTTTTGTTGTTTTGCGCAGCCCTCAGAAGCCGGAACGCGCTCATTGTAGTGGGAAGGTTTCGGGCAAGGCCCCTTTAAGGCTTCTCAGCAGGTCTACTCAGAGACTTTTGCACAAACTCGACGCTTTGTTTAAAAAGTTCTTTGGATTCAGGATATAGGCTACCTATAGGGTGCAGGCATGCTCACAACCCTGTACCAGCATCGGGTCGACCTATACCGGAAATCGTGGTGTCGTGATGCATGCAGAAGCCGAGGCGTCCATCACCAACACGCAGCCGCCCGTCTGCCTTTTGGGGCTTTTGGGGTTGAGGGATGAGGGCTTGGGGTTCACGCTGTGAGTGGCTGCCACCCAGCGTATCGCTGGCGATGCTACTGCGCTGTGTGCGCAAAGCGTCGACTGCAGGAATCGAATAGCCTAGGCATCCGTACTCTCTGCTCCTGAGGCTCTACGGGTAGTTACATGGTCCCTGAATATGGTCCATTTCTGAAGTATGGGTCCTTGGGTATTTCTATGTTTGCTTGTTCAGAACTGCAGGGATCAACTCCCAGTTCTGCAAGGACATAGTATAGGGTTTCGGGTTAGTTGGGGTTTAGGGTTTAGGGTTTAGGGTTTAGGGTTTAGGGTTTAGGGTTAGTTTAGGGTTTAGGGTTTCGGGTTTAGGGTTTAGGGTTTATAGGTTTAGGGTTTAGGGCTTAGAGGGTTTTGGGTTTGGGGTTTAGGGTGTTTACAGCAACGTTGTCATCACCAAAAAAAGTTTATAAAAGGATCCGTTGGCCGGAGGCCTTGGCGGCGCGTTGGATGGTTTCGGGCTTTCTCTCCTCCTTTCCCCCCCAAAACGGGGTGGGGGCACGAGCGGCGCAGCATCCCGAAGCGCGTGAAATAAGCACGACCAATATGTAGCAGCACCTCCTGCGAGTCGGAAGGGTTTTTTCAAGCCGCGACAAAGGTCCGGTAACAATGCCCGGGGATCTTTATATACTGCATTAACTCCGTTCGCATTTGGCCCTAAACAGCCTAAACCTTAAACCATGAACCCTAAACCGCCTAAATCCTCGAAACCTAGGCCCTATTTTCTAGACCCTCAAACTTCGGTTTTGGCTTTAAACCCTAATCCCTAAACCCCCAAACCCTACGTACATTCTCTAAACCCTACGCCCTAAAGAGCCTCTAGACCCTCAAACTTCCCTGAAGCCTCCTTTGCGTCGCAAGGTCCGTTCTGAAGTACGAGTCTCCCGACAGATCCCTGGTGGTGTCGCTCGCCATGCTTGGGGCTTCGGGTTTCGGGTTTAGGGTTTTGGGTTTTAAGTTTAGGGTTTAGGGTTTAGGGTTTAGGGTTTAGGGTTTAGGGTTTAGGGGTTTAGGGGTTTAGGGGTTTAGGGGTTTAGGGGTTTAGGGGTTTAGGGGTTTAGGGGTTTAGGGGTTTAGGGGTTTAGGCTTGAGGGTTAAAGGGCTTGCCTTTTGGAGAAGAAGGGCGGGGAATGAGGGGGTGGCCTAAAAAGACCCTGGACCCTAAACCCTAAACCCTAAACCCTAAACCCTAAACCCTAAGCCCTAAACCCGAAGTCCTGAGCCGCTGGGACGGCTTGTCTGCTCCTCGCCAGGTCTTTCTCCTCGCCCGGTCTCCGACACCCAACCCCAGATTAGGGTGCGTGGTTTAGGGTTTAGGGCTTAGCGTTGAAAATCCCCAGAGAATCCTGGAAATGGGTATGTTCGAAGTTTAAAAAGGCGGTTCCTCAAGACCCAAAAACTCCTAAGCCCTCAAGCCTCAACTTGTCAACACTAAACTAAACCCTGAACCCGAAACCGTAAACCCTTCTTGTCCTCCGCCCTTAACCCCATGCTCGCAGAAGATCGGCTCCCAATTCATGTTCCTATCAGGCTCGTTATCGTTTTTCTCTATCCCTGAACCCTAAATGCAAAAACCAAATTCCTCAACGCCCCTTGAAATCCCTGCTTCTCGAAGCGCCCTAAACCCTAAACCCTATAAACCCTAAAACGGCCCCTGGATTTCAAAGCCCCTTTACCGCACCCCTTTCGAAGAAGGGCGGGCCCCTAAGCACTGGTCAAACCCTAAACCCTGAACCCTCAACTCTCACCCTCAACCCTCAACCCCCAACCCTCAACCCCCAACCCTCAATCCTCAACCCTAAACCCTAAACCCTAAACCCTAAACCCTAAACCCTAAACCCTAAACCCTCAGCTTCCTAAATCTAAGCCCGAAGTCCCGGAGCCGAGCGGAGAGAGACGAGGCTGGACACCATTGGCCTCGGGGACACAGAGCTAGACCAGGACATGGGTTTGGGTTTGGGGGTTTAGGGTTTAGGGCTAGGGTTTAGGGTTAAGGGTTTAGGGTTTGGGATTTGGGGTTTAGGGCTAGGGTTTAGGGTTAAGGGTTTAGGGTTTAGGGTTTGGGGTTTGGGGCTTAGGGTTTAGGGTTCCCAGTGGAACCCCCCAACCCCGCCTTGAGGTACCTGCCCTGGGCTTCATGCCATCAGTCGCATATTTCGGCAGGGGCTTCAGGATTCGAAGCACAGCGTTGGCAACAACAGCAGCCCACCACCAACAACAGTCTAAGACGTATTCAGCATACCCCTTGGGCAGACCCTCAAGTGGAATTAAGGGGTATGGTAAAAATCCTGCCTTATATTCTCCTTTTGCAGGTCAAGGGGTATGGGCTTGGGGCATGTTGAGTTGTTCTGAGAAACAGTAGTAGTGAGAACCAGCAACAACAAAACCAAGGTTTGCTGAGCTGACATCTGAGAGACCCCCCAACCCCCCAGCCCTCAAAGTACAACGGAAGCTTAAACCCTAAACCCTAAACCCTAAACCCTAAACCCTAAACCCTGAACCCTAAACCCTAAACCCTAAACCCTAAACCCTAAACCCTAAACCCCCAATCCGAAGTGTTGTGTTACATCAACACCTGAACCCCCAACTTGGCATCCTCGGGAACTTTCGCTTTTTGGGGAGCTGTCTTGGGGTTTAGGGTTTAGGGTTTGGGGTTTAGGGTTTAGGGTTTAGGGTTTAGGGTTTAGGGTTTAGGGTTTCGGGCTTTAAGAAGTTTAGGGCTTTGACCTCAAGCGCGCTACCGAAGCCTCAAGTGTCACTTCTGGAGTTTTGCTGTGCAGGACAAGGTGGTCGCGAACATCCGCGATGCAGCCGCCCGCATGCAAGTAGGGTTTAGGGTTAGGGTTTAGGGTTTAGGGTTTAGGGTTTAGGGTTTAGTTAGGGTTTAGGGTTTAGGGTTTAGGGTTTAGGGTTTAGGGTTTAGGGTTTAGGGTTTAGGGTTTAGGGTCTATAGGGATTAAGGTTTTTGTGTTGAGGGTTCAAGGGTCTTTCGGTTGAGGCATGTTGGTTTGGATGTTCCTCCTGATACTAACAGTCCTTAATCGGGATTGTAATAGAAACCCTAAACCCTAAACCCTGAACCCTGAACCCTGAACCCTGAACCCTGAACCCTAAACCCTAAACCCTAAACCCTAAACCCTAAACCCTAAACCCTAAACCCTAAACCCTAAACCCTAAACCCTAAACCCTAAACCCTAAACCCTAAACCCTAAACCCTAAACCCTAAACCCTAAACCCTAAACCCTAAACCTAACCCTAAACCCTAAACCCTAAACCCTAAACCCTAAACCCTAAACCCTAAACCCTAAACCCTAAACCCTAAACCCAGCCCAAGAAAACCTGCGAGAGCCCAGTCCCTCTCGGCGCCCCACGGCGTGGACGCCATGTTTTTCGTCATGCGGAGCGGCCGCATCACGGATGACACCATCGCCAGGTCTAGCTTTCTTTTAGGGTTTGGGGTTTAGGGTTTTGGGTTTCGGGTTTAGGGTTTAGGGCCCATAATTCCAGCCTTAAATTTCTGTTTCAGGGGTTTGGTGGGCTTGGGTTCAGGGTTCCAGGGGTTTATGGTTCCAGGGTTTAGGCGTCTGGAGGTGAGGGTTCCAGGGCCAAGGGGTTCCGGGGCTTAGGAGTTCAATTTTAAGGATGCCGAGTTTAGGGTTTAGGGGTATTTTCGGGCTTTGGGAAAAAGATTTCGGGATTAGGAGAAGGCAATCCAGACAAGAAAGCCCCCTAGCCCTAAACCCTAAATCCTAAGCCCTAACCATGACCCCTAAACCCTAACTTAACCCCGAAACCCGAAACCTGAATCTCGGACCCTTCCTATCTGCCAGGCTCATCTACGCCACGGAGTACCTCTGGGGAACGGAATGCCGCTTAGGCATCGAATTGCCATGCCGGGGCTACCAGGAAGAACCTAAACCTAAACCCTTGACACTAAACCTCTAAACCCTGAACCCTGAACCCGAAACCCTAAAACCCTAAAACCCTAAAACCCTAAACCCTAAACCCTAAACCCTAAACCCTAAACCCTGAACCCTGAACCCTGAACCCTGAACCCTGAACCCTGAACCCTAAACCCTAAACCCTAAACCCTAACCCTTAAACTAGTTCAGGCCTCATGAAGCTTGAGTGATCCCTGTGTAGTGCTCGGGCTGGAAGATGCTTCACTCTTTTGTAAGAGGTTGGGGTTTGTAGGATTTCCTGAAACCCTAAACCTGAACTTCGTAAACCCTAGACTTCCCAAACCCTGAACTCTAGGCCCTGAACCCTAAACCCAGATGTTAACCTCAGATTTATAAACCCCCCCTCAATTAAGGAATCCCAAGCCGGGACTCGATTGTAAACCCGCCCTCAATTAAGGAATCCCGGCCCGGGGACCGATTTGTTTTCCTATGGGCCTGCCCCACCACCCCCCCCCCCTTTCGGTCGGGCAGAAAACAATAAACAATTGAGGGGGGGGGGGGGGGGTTGTTAATTCGAGGTCAACAGCCCTGAGCCCTAAACCCTAATTTATATATGTATATGTATATATATATATATATATTTATTTATTTTATTTATTTTGTTTTTTGTTTTGTTTGTTTGTTTGTTTGTTTGTTTTTTTTTTTTTTTTTTGGGGGGGGGGGGCGGGGTGCGGGGGGTTGAGAGTTCGCGGCTGTTGCGTTGGGGGGCAAAACCTAGGCCTTCTGAACCTCTACGTGGTGGTGACCTACGCCAGCAAGTACGTGTCCGCAGCCTCAGAGTAGGGTTTAGGTTTAGGGTTTAGGGTTTATAGTGTTTAGCGTTTCTAGGGTTTGTTTTTTTTTGGGGGTATTTGGGAGGGGAGGTTTATGGCTGTCCTAAAAATGCTGAAACAAGCCCTAAACCCTAAAACATATCTTCCGTTGTTAAGTTGAGTAGGCTACTAGCTCCAGTTTAAGTCAGACGCCCGGGAGGGTCCAAAAAGTAGAGCCCCCGAAATAGTACCTTATAATACTACTACTACTACTACTACTACTACTACTACTACTACTACTACTACTACTACTACTACTACTACTACTACTACTACTACTACTACTACTACTACTACTACTACTACTACTACTACTACTACTACTGGGTCGTTCTTAGGAACCCTTAAAGGGATCTTGTCACTTTTTGGATGCTCCCAGGGGTCTGGGAAAAAGGCTGTCAGTACCACAAGCCGCCGGAAAGTAGGATCAAGGGATCTCTTGAGTGTTGGGGTTTAGGGGTTTAGGGGTTTTGAGGGTTTAGGGGTTTAGGGGTTTAGGGTTTAGCGTTTAGGGTTGAGGGTTTTTTGAAGCTTGGGCACTAAGGTTTCACTTTTTTGCCTTGGGTTTAAGGTTTCGGGCTTCGGGTTTAGGGTTCCGGGTCTTAGGGGCAGGGCCTGCAAATAGTCGTTAAGTTGGTAGCTTGCTGTCTTGTCCCTTCTTTTTGCTTGCTGCCATGAACCCCCTAGAGCCTATTGCAAGATATTCTAAGCAACAAATAAAATGTTCGACCCCCTTCTGCGTGTTTGTTTAGAAGTAAGGAAGCTTGTTCATCTCTGTGGATGGCGATTGTAGTGTGGAAGCTGAAAGATTTAGGACAAGCCTCTGCCAAAACGGCTAGACTTCAACGAAGGCCCCGCGCAAGCCTTACGAACCGCACTACGGAGGGTCCTTTAAGGGGCCTAAGGAGGGACCCCTTAAAGGGACCCTTAAACTTATTCCCCTCTACAACCCTGATACCTACCTTACAGAGCCCCTACATACTTCTAGGTAGCCCCTAAATAACACCCCAAGGAACCCCAAAGGTCGTCCCTCCTTTAGCCCCTTCAGTCCTGCGAACCTCCAGCATCAGGTCGAACCGCGACGAGGCCGCGAGACCCTCTGGCCCTAGACCCCTGAACCGTTCACAGAGTCTGAGCATCAAGGCATCCTGGCGGTAGATACGACTACCTCAACCCTCATTACCCTAAACATATTATACTAAACCCTAAGCCCTAAAACGGGCCTAAACCCTAGCCCGAAACTCTGAACCCTCATCCCCGCCCCCCCCCCCCGTTTTGGGTTTGGGGTTTGGGGTTTGCGGTTTGGGGTTTGGGGTTTGGGGGTTTGGGGTTTGGGGTGTCTTGCCGCACAGCGGCAGGAGATCTCATGCTCACATGGTACCACCACTATATTTGGGAAGTAGGGTTGAGGGTTTTGGATTTAGGGTTTAGGGTTTAGGGCTTGATTATGGTTTCTGGTTGAGGGTTTAGAGATGAGGGTTTAGGGTTGAGGGCTTGCGGGTTCAGGTATCCCCTTGAGCCCTAAGCAGCAACCCCCAATTCCCCCCCCCCACCCCCCCCCCCCCTCCCTTAACTCTTTAAACCCTAAACTAAAATCAAAACCCTAAACCCCTATAACTTGTACCCTTAGCCCGCAATGCCCTAAAGCCAGCGCCCGACGACCTCGGCCAACTCTCTTTCTGCCAGGCTCTGCACTGGATCAACCGGCAGAGTGACCTGAACTGGCGCTTCAAGCACATCTACAGCTTGGCCTCTTGGCTGTATCCCCCTTGTTTTTTTTTTTAATATATATGTGTCTATATAAATCCCAAAAGGATATTAAACATATTATTTTGTATATTTGTTTATATAAATCCCAAAAGGATATTAAACATATCATTTTTTAAAGGTTCTACAGTACAGCTTGGTCTCTTGGCTGTTGGCCACATCTTGGGTTGCAATTTGGTCCCCCTGAAGGAGGGGCCCCCCTAAAAGGGTGGCCTCATCTACACCTCAACGTGGGCCCTTAAAAGGGGGATCCCTCATGATTACTACCCCTTATATACACCTTATTGTGGGCCCTTAAAAGGGGACCCCCAAGAATGTTTGTAAGATACCCCCGACATACCCCTTAATCTGGGCCCTTAAAGGGGGACCCCTCAAAATGCCCCCTGTACAACCCAAGGGGCCCAGACGTATTCTAGGCAGTGGGTGGCGGTTGTTCTCGGACCTTAGTAGCTTCGCTGTCGGTTCCCAGGCGCTCCAAAGCCCCAAGCCCTAACTTGGGTGCGGAGTTTAGAAGTTGGGGCTTGGGGGTGTGGGGGTTTGGGATTTGGGGTTTAGGGTTTAGGGTTGAGGTTCCCTGAACCACTAAACCCCAGGCTGTGGGTTGCCGAGGGGTGCCTACGTACGTTGTTTGTGGTTCAGGGTTTAGGGTTCAGGGTTCAGGGTGTAGGGTTTAGGGTGTTTACTTCAGGGTTTTGCAAGATTAGGGAGCCAGTTGCCCACGGGCAGTTTGTAGTCTTGGAGGTTTAGATGGCATGGGTATGGGGGCAGTCTGGGGTGGTGCAGGGTCCCATAAGGGTTTCGGGTGTAGGGTTTAGGGTTTAGGATTTAGGGTTAGGGTTTAGGGTTTAGGGTTTAGGGTTTAGGGTGTAGGGTTTAGGGTTTAGGGTTTAGGGTGTAGGGTTTAGGGTTTCGGGTTCAGGGCTCAGGGTTTAGGATGGTAGGGCATCAGGGGCCTTCCCACGCTTGGCATCTTCTAAGGGGCGTGAAAAAAAGTTCAGGGCTTGCCAAGGGCTTTGCTAAGGGCTTTGCTAAGGGCTGTCTTAGTTGCCTGTTAAGAGAACCCTAAATCCTCAACCCTAGACCCTAAACCCTAATGAAGTCCTAAACCCCAAACTGTCAACCCTAGACCCTCAACCCCAGACCCTCACGCCTAATTCAACCCTCAACCCCAACCCTAACTCCTAAACCCTATACCCTATACCCTATTCCGATATACCCTATACCCTATACCCTACACCCTGTACCCTACATCCTAAACCCGATACCCTTAGAGGGCTCAGTCCACAAGCCAACGCCTCATCCGGCAGAGCGAAGGTGGGCAACAACGCCAACAGGCGCGACCCCGGACGTGGTTGAGGGGTTTAGCATTTAGGGATTTCAGGTTTAGGGTTTGGGGTTCTTAGGGAGGTTAGGGTCTTTAGGGTTTTTAGGGTTTCTAGGGTTTTTAGGGTTTTTAGGGTTCGGTGTTTAGGGTCCAGGGTTTAGGGTGCACTAGGAGGCAGGAGCCCTAATCCCCCACACCTTCAACCCTGGTGAGTACTAAGAAGGAAGACACGCCCCAAACCCTAAACCCTAAACCCTAAACCCTAACCCCTAACCCCTAAACCCTAAACGCTAAACCCGAAACCCTAAACCCTAAACCCTAAACCCCAAACCCTAAACCCTAAACTCTAACCCTAAACCCTAAACCCTAAACCCTAAACCCTAAACCCTAAACCCTAAACCCTAAACCCTAAACCCTAAACCCTAAACCCTAAACCCTAAACCCTAAACCCTAAACCCTAAACCCTAAACCCTTAAACCTAAACCCTAAACCCTAAACCCTAAACCCTAAACCCTAAACCCTAAACCCTAAACCCTAAACCCTAAACCCTAAACCCTAAACCCTAAACCCTAAACCTAAACCCGAAACCCGAAACCCTAAACCCTAAACCCTAAACCCTAAACCCTATGCTAGGATCCTCTTTGTGGACAACCCAAATCCCGATGATGGGGAGCCGCTCACAAGGACGTGATGCTCAGGGAGAAGGGTTTATAAGGTTTAGGGCTGATGGTTTAGGGTTTAGGGTTTAGGGTTTAGGGTTTAGGGTTTAGGGTTTAGGTTAGGGTCTTTAGGGTTTAGGGCTTAGGGCTTAGCGCTTAGGGCTTCGGGCTTCCTCCCTCCCCAAGACTCCCCCGAGATAAGGCGCATTCGGAGCAACTGTAAGCTCATCTTGAAGATGGATAAAACCCAAAACCCCCAAACCCAAACCCCAAAACAACAAAAGCCCTAAACTCCAAGCCTCAAAACCCATAAACCCCTAAATCCGAAAACCCTGAAAACTTAAGACCCCAAACCCTAAGCCCCAAAAGCCCTACCCCCTCTAAAGTAAAGACGATGTGCCCTTGACAAAAAGGCAAACCCTAAAAACCCCTAAAGCACCCCCTAAACCCCCGAAACCCTAAGCCCAAAGCCTCTAGGCCCCAAATCCCCACGCCCTAAACCCCTAGACCTCTAAACCCCCAAACCCCCCACAGCCCCAAGCCCTAAAGCCCTTAAGACGCCCTAAAACCTTAAACTCCCAAACCCCTAAAGCCCCAAAGCCCCTAAGCCCTAAAGCCCTCAAGACGATGCGCCCTTGAAAAAAGAAAAACAGGACCCGCCGGCACAACAGCCGTCAGAACATCATGAAGGCGCCTGTGGGTGTGCTGAAATCGGGGTTTAGGGTTTAGGGTTAGGGTTTAGGGTTTAGGTTTTAGGGTTTAGGGTTTAGAGTTTAGGGTTTAGGGTTTAGGGTTTAGGGCCCCAGAATCCCTAGATCCGAAACCCTTTCAGCCCTCTAAGCCCTTTAAGACCTTCTAAGCCCTCCTTGAAACCCTACAGCCCTGGGTTTAGGGTTTAGGGTTTAGGGTTTAGGGTTTAGGGTTTAGGGTTTAGGGTTTAGGGTTTAGGGTTTAGGGTTTAGGGTTTAGGGTTTAGGGTTTAGGGTTTAGGGTTTAGGGCCCCGAACCTGAGGCTCGAAACTCGAAACTCCTCAACCAACCCCAAACCCAACTCTCTTGCGGATTAAGGTTTTAGCTGCCCTAAATCCTAGACCCTAAGTCCGAAACCCCAAGCTCCAAAACACTTAACCCCAAACCCTAAACCCTGAACCCCAAAGCCTAAACCCTAAAACCTGAAACCCTAAACCTCAAATCCTCAACCCTGAACTTCAAAAATCCTCAACCCTCTGCCCAATACTGTGGCGAAGGCCCTGGTCGCGCATCCAAGGGAACTGATACCTCCCTTCACACACCAGATGATGAAGGAGGCCCAGTGCGGGTTTGGGGTTTCGGGTTTGGGTTTAGGGTTTGGGGCCCTAAGCCCTAAAGCCTCAACCTGAAGCCCTAATTACGGGATAAAGACTCTAAAGCCAACATCCCCTGCACCCAATAAGCCTTATAACCCCTGCGGACCCTACGAGCCCTATAGAGTCCCTATAAACTCGATCCGGTAAACCCCAGAAACCCTTTAAATCCTAAACCCTTCAAACCCTAAACCTTTCAAACCCTAGACCCTAAACCCGAAACCCGAAACCCTAAACCCTAAACCCGAAACCCTAAACCCTAAACCCTAAACCCTAAACCCTAAACCCCAGGCTCAGGAGAGGATGGAGGCGACGTGGAAGGAGATGCAGCGCGCCGAGGAGGCGCCCCCTTTTGGGGGTTTGGGGTTTAGGGTTTGGGGTTTAGGGTTTAGGGTTGAGGGTTTAGGGCTAGGGTTTAGGGTTTAGGGTTTCGGGTTTAGGGTTCAGGGTTCAGGGTCTGGGGTTTCGGGTTTGGGCTTCGGGGTTTAGGGTTTGGGGCTTAGGGTTTGGGGTTTAGGGGTTTCGGGTTTGGGGTTGAGGGCTTGGGGTTTTGGGTATTAGGGTTTTGGGTTCAGGGCTACCCCCCCCCCCCCCCCCAAACAAGAACACGTAACTAATAGAGGGCGCACGGGCGCACAAACACACACGTTACACACTAGGTGTTCTGCAGCTCTGATTGACCCCCCCAAGTGAACCAAGACACCCTACGCACCAGGAGTTCTTCAGATTCAAACCTCATTTCATCTCACTTCCCTAAACCTGGAAACGCCTAAACCCCTGAACCCTTAACCCCTAAACCCTTAACCCCTAAACCTAACCCCTAAACCCCTAAACCCCTAAACCCCTAAACCCCTAAACCCCTAAACCCCTAAACCCCTAAACCCCTAAACCCCTAAACCCCTACACCCCTAAACCCCCAAACCCCTAAACCCCTAAACCCCTAAACCCCTAAACCCCTAAACCCCTAAACCCCTAAACCCCTAAACCCCTAAACCCCTAAACCCCTAAACCCCTAAACCCCTAAACCCCTAAACCCCTAAACCCCTAAGCCCTAAACCCTAAAGACCTAAACCCCCAAACTACCCCCAAAGCCTGAACTGAGACCTTGCAGCCTTCGCGCGTTGGGCTTCCTAGGGCTGCAGTCCTTCGCGGTTGGGGGTCTGGAAATTTTGGGGTTGAAGAGCTTAGGGGTTTAGGGGTTTAGAGGGATTTAGAGCTTGTTTTATATTTTTTTTTCCGGGGGGGGCGGGGGGGGGGCGCGGGGGGAGGGGGGAGGGGTGACATATGTCGGGGTTTAGGGTTTAGGGTTTGGGGTTCAGGGTTTAGGGCTGCTTGGGCTTTGGGTTCCTTAGTTGTTGGAGGATTGAATTTATCAAGGGATTCAGACTCGGACCCCTAAGGTTGTACCCCTAAAGGTTCCCCTTAATATACTCCTAATATGGCCCTTATATTCCCTTAGGGATCCTTAAAAAGGGATCCCAAAACCCAAGGGTTTAAGGCCCCACGCGCTCCTTCCTTGCGCCAGGAGCTGAAGCGCCTCCAACAAGAGGCTGGGCCCAACGTCAGAACCCCAAACGCACTACACCCTAAACCCTGAACCCTAAAAACCCTAAAGACCCTAAAAACCCTAAAAACCCTAAAAACCCTAAAAACCCTAAAAACCCTAAAAACCCTAAACACTTACCCTGAAACCCTTCCTAGAGATAACTTCAGCTTATAAGCCTTTAAGTTTCTGCGTTTTAGGGTTAGCGGTTCAGGGGTTTAGGTTAAAATTTCGGGCTGCGCGCTCTTTCCACTGATTTTGAAAGTTGGGGTTTGGCATGGGTTTGAGTTTAGGGTTCAGGGTTTAGGGCTTAGGGCTAGGGTTCAGGGTTCAGGGTTTAGGGTTCAGTGTTATATGGTTGAGGCTAGCTGGCGTTGGACCAAGTGTGAGATGCACAGATAAAGGTCCTTCTGGTGATTCGATCACCCCACAAACCGGAGTCACCGCATATAAAATGCCCTAAGCCCGAAAGCCTAAACCCTAAACCCTAAACCCTAAACCCTAAACCCTAAACCCTAAACCCTAAACCCTAAACCCTAAACCCTAAACCCTAAACCCTAAACCCTAAACCCTAAACC